CACTGCAGGAGTTCCCTACAGAGTCTCAGCAGATTTCTTGCTGATACAAACGGCTTCCTCATAGCTGTGAAGAGCCAGGACTGCTATAGCCTTTACCAGCTTAGAAATCTAATTCACGATTTCAAGGTACTGTATTTATTTCTCATAAATCTAAAATCTGTGGGTTTTCTCAGACTAAAACAATTTATGTCCAATAAGGTAAAAAGCTTTAAAATCACATGCTTTTGGGGGAAAACAATTGCTGACAACTTTTCTTAAAGCTGAGCACAGATGAGAAAACAGTGACATTGTGAAAGGCTCATTATACTAGGAAACTTCCTGGTCAACATTGTCATTTAGTAGCCTTGTATGCTTTAAAAATATTACTGCTATGAACATGGAAATGCAGGGTGCCAGAAAGATTAGGCAGGAACCCTGGTCAGCAGGTACCCCCTAGGTCTGTATGCACCTTACTGACATGACTGCTGCATGCAGGCCTTGCAGTTTGCCTGAAGGAAGCAGGCACATATGCGACAAGACAGACCCTGTGGGTCCGGTGTGTGCAGGGATGGGCAGGAGGTGCCAGGAGCAGAGGATAAAGCACTTGCAAGGGGGTCTGTCCTTGGAGCCACCACTCCAGGATGCACAGACCTGGGCAGCATTTCTTCAGGGCAGTAAGTTCTGCATTTTATGTGCAGTGGAAAAAAAAAAAAAATTTCCTCTGTTAATTTTGGGTATCTTGGTTTTCCATTTCATTATGCACCTCTTTGCTTTATAAGAAAGTAAAAATAAGCAGTGAACCTGATGGTTGCTTAAGGCAATCAAAACCTTTCAAAAATACGTTATTGAATGCTATTTGCATTTGCATGGTCCAAGATTTATTGTGTTCCCACACACCTAATGTTGATGGATTAACACATTACCAGTATTCCATTTGGCGCTCGCCCTGTTTATTTCATCTCTATCTTTACCTGCTGTGCAAAGATGATTTTCAGTAGATTTTACACATTAGTGCTCATGCTTTTCCTTAGTGAGAAAAGCCAGAAAGTCTTCTCCTTCCTACTCCAAAATGCCCTTCCCTCCTGCTGTTGTTTTACAGAAAGAAACTGATCATATCTGCTTGTGTTATAGACCAGTTTGTATTGTAGGCAAGTTATTTGGAGTATGTCATGATTAACAGAGCTGTTACCTCTGAAAAATTTTGTCTTAGGTGTTGATACTAGAGGTGCTAACAGAACTTAAACTGTTTTTTTATTCTGAGTAACTCATACAACTGCATTTCCATCTTTTTGTAACCACTGTACTTTCACTCTATAGATTCAGTCTGTGAAAAGCTATTTCAGAGTTTTATAGTTCAGAAGATCAGAAAGAATCTGATTTTTCTGAAATTAAAAGAGCAGATAGGAGAAGATCTATTCATTACACCTTCATGAATGTGAACAAACTAATGCCTTGCAACTCCCTTTGTGAGTCTTCACTTCTTCCCAAGTGAAATGCCAGGAGTGCGCTTCTAAAGCTTGTGAAGAACAGCTTAGAAACTTAATTTCTTTTTCCTTTTAAAGTGTAAGGCAGTGGTTCTTCAGAGGTGGCAAGCCATGTACTCCCTAATCATCGATGTCGGGGAGAAGTTACGCACGGTCTCTGATCCCGAGACCAACGCGCTTCTCCAGGAAGAGCTCAGCCAGTTACAGCAGAGTTGGGGAGACACCCAGGTCCAGCTGGAGAAGAAGAAGATGCAGCTCAGCAGCACCCTACAGGTAAGCAATGCCCTCCCCAGGGAGAAGCAGCACCTGCTTCTCTGGCATTGGGTCTCGAGAGCTTCCCTGCCCCACCATCCCCAGGGCTGAGCTCTGTAGTAAAAAGGCAAATGCTGAGCTGCTGCTCACTGCTGAAAGGCTCTGAGGGAAGTGCCTATGTCATGTGCCATAAGGGCATGTGGGAAGCTAAAACGATGGTCTTGGGATTCTCCAAAGGAAAATGGAGTTGGCATCCATTTGTTGCTACAATGGATGTCCCCACTCTGATTGTTCTCATGCTCTCCCTGGCCTGGAGCGCTCTCCTGCTTTGGGCTGCAAAGCCTGAGCTAAAATTTAGCTTAGAGGGAGTTATCATGACTTGTTGCTTCTTGTGTTGTTGCACCTCTAAACAGAAGGGTTGGTCATGTTTATGTCCTTAGAGCAATGAACGTGCTTTCATGGCTAGACAGCACATAGGTATGTCTTAGAATTTAATACTGTCATCAATACCATCCCCATCCCAAAAACTGTGTTTAAAGCTTCTCAGGTTGAACAGAACAAAATGAGCAGAAATGCTCTCTAAGGCAAGCCTTAAATACAAGAGAGGGTTCGAGTTCTGTGAATCCATGCACCAAATTCTTGTGGGCAGTACTATGTATCAAAAAGAAAATTCAAATAACCAGAGCACAGGTTTGTTTACTTCAGCGGCTGAAGAGGCTATTTTGTAACAGATCAATATGGTTCAATATGTCATGGTAAAGGATCTTTACCTTTTTTAACTTCTTGGGTCTCCTTGAGCAGACTTGGGACTGCTGCGAGAAGCAAACCAAGGAACTAGAAAGCAGGCTGCAAGAGCTAAAGGAGAAAGTAAAAGATCCACTTCCAGTCGAACATGAAGATGTCTACAAAGCCAAGGAACACATTAAGGTATTGAGCAACCGTACCGTATTTAAACAGATGCAGTCTTCGCATAACAAAGCCAAGGAACACATTAAGGTATTGAGCAACCATACTGTATTTAAACAGATGCAGTCTTTGCATAACAGGTGATCCCTGTAAAATCAGTTTTCCCTCTTACCTGCTCTTCAGTGATACTGAATTTCTCTCCTTTATACCGTCCTGATTGCTGCCAATCTGCAAAAGTCCAGCCGACCAAGAAGATTACAAGAAGAGTAGTAGTGTTTGGATTTCTTTTCCTGCTTCTGCTCCCTTTCCACAATCTCAATTTATAAAATAAGCAGTTCCTCAAACAAAAGGAAAAACAACTCCCTGGTCTCAGCTCCTTTGGCTGCTATTCTAGTGGCTGAATCTGCCTTTTTGTTTCCCAGTTTATTTTGGGCAGGGAGCTCCTCAGGCAAGAGACCTTGTAAGTCTGCAAAGCACCATGCACACCTGTGGGATCTGAGAATAATTAAAGAGAAGGAAAATTAAGAGTAAGGGAGTGGCAAAAGCCCTTGCAGCCCATAGTGCACCATGAAAATTAAATGGCAAGGAAAGTATTTCCAAGGGATAGGAGTCATTTTGTCTGGACTGGTCAGTCTTTCATCATCCTTTTATGAAGTGAATTGTTGACCTATGTAGTGGGAACAAATAGGCTTATTAACAAGCCAAGGCTTTGAACTCATTATCAGCTGTCTGAAATCTTCTTTGTGAGTGCTGGCTGCCTTTCTCACGGCAGCAGCCTTGCTGTGGCCCTGAATTGTTTGTGAGATGGCATCACACAGCTCCTGCCTCTCACTCCATTAAGAGAAATTCAGCTGCAGAGGCAGCAGGGCCAGACAGTGCCAGTGCAGTTGCTGCTCTTGGGTGTCACAGTATAATAACATAAAGGACCAAAATGGCATGGGAGAGAAGGACCTCCTTTCCTCTCCCTGCATTTCACTCTTCTATTGAATAAAGCTGTTTTCCTCTCAGGCCTGAACCTCATGCAAGGCTAGCAAAGTCCCATGAAATTCCATCCTTGTTAAGATACATAAATGCACGTGTGCATATCTGTAGGGAGTAACTTGTTGTGAGCTCAGGTAAATTTTAGTCTCAGATTTGTTTGGGTTCCAGTGTTGAAACAGATCAGATTTTTTTTTTAATGAGTTAGATAAGTGGCTGGATCAAAAGACCTGTGAAAATGCTGGCAGGGCTTGGAACCAGCACACTTCTGATACAAACACAATTTTTTCACTTTAAAATGAGGTAAATTGGATCCTCTGTAAAAGCTTTTTTTTTGTTAGAGGAGCCAGCAACACTTCCTGGCAACCACCTTGCAAAATGGGACCTACTACCTCATGTGTAGAGTCATCAAGTTTCCCAGCTGCATGCAGTGGTGTCTCTGCTTTTTAGGTGACAATTTTAACACTGATAAAGAAAATTCATAACCTTGTTATAAAGGGAAAGGGGAAGCCGGGGTACAAAGCAGAAGAGCGAGCATGTTTCTGTGAACGAGCAGTTTAAAAGCACCACATTCCTGACAAATCTGATGAAGTGCCTGTGAAATTCATCAGAGAAGGGAACCAACTTTATTTTTTAGCATTTAAATAAATAACCTGAAATGGAACAAATGCAGGTGGAAAGCAACTTGGCCAAAATAAAAAGAAAACCCAAAGGAGTGGGCAAGTTCCTTCCTGGATGTGAAACCCCAAACGCTGCCCTGGATCGTGGGGAGTTGCAAGGGTTCAAGGCAGCGTTTCGGCACTTTTGGCTGCAGCGGAGGCTGCACCAGTTAACGAGGAGCAGCTCTGCCCTGGGCTCCAGTGGGCTCCAAGTCAGGCCCTGAGCCAAATCCACAGGGACCCCGTCCAGTCCAGCCGCAGAGCGCTGCACAAGCGGCTGCACATTCCCCTCCTCTCCTCCCCCACAGGCCAGGCAGGGGATTAACCAGCAGGTTTGGAAACCAGAGGAGCTTAGTGCCAAGGCTTGTTCTGGGTGCGTTTCCATGCAGGAGCTGGAGCAGTCGCTGGCAGACTGGGCCCACAACATGAAGGAGCTGCGGGCCATGAAGGTGGAGCTGGCTCACTGCATCCTCACCGAGGACATGATGGTGCTCAAGGAGCAAGTTGAACATTTGCACAGGCAGTGGGAAGAGCTCTGCTTGCGAGTAAGTCTTCCACTTTCTCTGGGGTTTTATAGCGGGATAGTCGCAGGGCCTGGCAGAAAAGGGGGAGCAGGTAAGCAGATGATTTTTCTCTTGAGGTTGGCTCATTTTTGCAGTCTTGGGTGGGGATGGGGCTTCTCCTGGTGCAGCTGACCAGGGTGAAGTTTGCCCTTTGTTTCCTGGACACAGACTGTTTGGGGGTTTTTTGGGGTTTTTTTTGTTTGTTTTTGCAAACTAGTGAGTGCCTGAATTGCACAGAGCTCAAATGCAGCTGTTTATTGAAATAGGTGGCTTTGTTCTGGGCTGCCAAAGGGAGGGGGGGTGGTGTGGGGGGAAGGATAAACACAGGAATTGCCTGAGGGCATGAAGCAGGGAAAGGAAGGGGGAAGTCTTTGCAATCTGATGTTACCAAAAAATGCCAGGGGAGCTGATAAAGAAAACTTAAATGTCTTTAAATACTAACTCCTTGGGTTTAAACACATTAAGAACTGACCTGTCCTCTCTGTAGCAGTAAAATACTGTGAAACATTTGCATTCTTTGTGACTTGTTGCTATATTACACTTAATTTAATGCTGCATGTAAAATTGCTGGGGAACATTTACCAGCAAAGTCACATGAACTTGATTCATTAGGTTATTATGCAGTTTGAATGTGTGTTTACTTTGCCCTGTTAACAGGATTGGAAGAAGTAAAATACATCTGGGTCTTAAGTTACTCTGGATAGCTCTACATGCCAGGAAGCCAAACTCTTGCCTCTCTCTACTCACAAGTCAATAGCTTTCATTTTACAGTTTGTAAAGAAGTATTGAAGTGAGTTAGTATTTCATGGTTAAACCTTACTCAGGCAAAGGTAAAGCCATCTAGGTGGGAATATTGCCAGAGTAATGAACAGCTTATTTCACAAACTTTGGTGTGATGAAATAGTTATTTGGGGTTATTTTTTGCATTGCAACAAGAAAGAAGAATTTAGTATCTTTGCCTTACACTGGACGGTTAATCTACAACCAGTGTTTTCTCTTTTAATGTTTCTGAACTGTGAAAATAATTCCAGAGACACCCTTCCCCCTCCTGAGAAATATAGGCCATTATTTTTAAATCAAAATGCCTGAACCATTTTCCTAATGGAAATCTGTAGTTTAGCCTATAAATGAGAACTGTGTTGTTTTTCCCTTTTTGGTGAACTGCTGATACCTGCTGTTTCAACTGTGGTGAACAGCCCTGAAAATTAAGCAATCTTTTGTACGTACCCCACTACAGTCTATCCAAGGAGTAATCTCCTACAGTAATTTAAGTTCAGATTTTATTCAAAATTTCTATTTTAATTTCCTGAGGGAACAACATTTAGTTCAGTCTATCTTGGAGAGAAGAAAGGGGTGACATTAATGTGACTGTGTTAGGCACACAAAAATCTGTAGTGGGAGGTATCTATTCAGTGCTGCAGTGGAGGGACAAACTGAAATGTTGACACAGCCCTAATGAGCCTCCGGAGAGCCCGCACTGATGCTCAGCGCTGGACACGAGGGTAGGAAAGCAGACTTTATGGGTTCTGCTGCGAGCACAGCTGCTTTGTGTTGGCTAACAAATGAGAGGAGTCAAGATGCATTGTGTGAAGAAAAATCCACAGTATAAATGCAGAGTGGTGAAAGCCTTTAAGAGCAAGACGCGGCTGCAGCTGTCACGGCCACGGGAGCGGGGCAGCCAGATGCCTGCGCCGGACCGGGCAGGGACACAAACACACGTAGTGAGCAGATGCACGCAAGGGATTAGCATTTACATAGCAGCCCTTGCAAGGTGCATGTAGGTCAAAGCTTTAACTATTCATATCAGCAAGTATCCTGGCCTAGTGAATGCTAGTGTATGGGTTGAGTGCCTGGGCCTTGATATTTTTTTCTGGCTCTCTTGGGAATGCCCACATTGCTCCTGCATTACCCTGTGGATGCAAAACTGGAGCTGGTGTCCTGGGGCAGCTAGTCAAGAAGAAAGTGCTCAAAGCAAGGTCTGGCGTAAAGGGCTCATGTTCCTAGAAACTTGTCTGGGATATTTTTGGCTCATTCCTGTTTTAATCCAAATCTGTATTGCTTAGAGAGCTGAAAGGTGCTTCCTGCTCTTAAAGTCCTGCCTTGCCCCGTGCTTAGCAGGCAAAAATGGAGTTGGGATCATTTCAGGATTTAATGATGGTTTTGCTGATGTGCAAAGTCTCTTCTTCCATGGGCAAAGTTAACTTGCCTCCACACATGGGAGATGCTGCAAGTGGTAGAAGAAGGATGAGGCTCAGGGTACGAGGGAGCATCCCAGAGCAGAGGCCATCTTAGGGAGACTTTCTGAGTCCTTGGGGTCTCCAGGAGGCTTCTTCCCAGTAAGAACTTTGGAGATTCATAGAATCATAGAATCATAGAATGTTTAGGGTTGGAAGGGACCACTAGTGGTCATCTAGTCCAACCCCCCTGCAGTGAGCAGGGACACTGCTAACTAGATCAGATTGCTCAGAGCCCCATCCAACCTGGCCTTGAATGTTTCCAGGGATGTTTCCCTGTGTCCCAGAACATTGCTTTCAGCCTCATCTCTTTGCTTAGATCAGCATGGAAGATTCAGAAATTACTGTCAGTTCCCTGTCCCCTCCTTAAAAAAAAAAAAGAATTTAAAGGACAAATGCAATATAGTGGGAGATCACTTGGTACCTCCTCTTTTGATCCTGGTGTTGTGTGGAGCTGGTCTTGCTTTTGCACTGCACACTTAAACTTCACTCTGAGGTACAAAGCAGTGTTAAGAGATAGTCTAGGAGAATCGTTATGAGGAGCCATATGCTGTATAAGATGCATGTTAGATGTCAAGAGGGAATGTTTCCTACCATGGGGTGATATTTAGAGTGGCCATTCGCAGCCAAGGCAAGCAACATGTTATGCTCAGTCTTCTTTACAGAAAGTTTATTGGTGAGGGTGAGGGGTTAGTTTTTTGTCTTGTTTTGTTTTAGTAGAGCTTGTACTATTTTTTTGCTTCCTTTGTCCCATACATCTTATTACAGGAACACACCAAAGTAGGTAAATGAATACAAATATGTATTTAAGACTCCTAGGCTAAAAATAAGTACTGTTAGCTAGTAGAAGAATGACCCTGCTTCTTTCTGAGGTGTTGGAGCAGTGATACTAGCTTTGCTGGTTCAGGCATCATCAGATCCATAGTTTCAATAAAAAGGATGGATTCTTGATGCTGATTTTTTTGGAAGTTCTCCAAGAACTGGTGAGCAAATGGAAAGAAAAGAAGGGGGGTTTTTCTAGAGATAAAATAATTGCAGTCAGTAGTTGCAAAGTTTCTTTTACAGTTGCAGAAAAATAAGAACTTACCTAGGTGTTATTTCTCTTGTGTTGTATATGAGATCGTACTAAACAGTATGTGGTAATTACATATTTTATATTCCTGCTTTGTTTGGCATTTTCAGGTTTTCACTGAGTAGTACTTAAATTGTTATATAAGCTCATTATTTATAAAGCTGTGATTCAGTTTAATTCTTCTGAGGGAGAGAATCTGGTGTTTGCTAGTCAACTTTTGGTCCTGCTATCCAAAATAAGATGTAATAACAATCTGCTTGCTGGCTTTCAAAAGAAAGCTAGCGATATTTGATAACTGCTCCTGCAAAATGGAATATGAACGAATGCAGACTAGAAATTAGAAGGCTCATAATTGCTTGTTTCCTTCCTGAGAAAGATACTGCCAGCAATTAACGTGTGTGCTTAACCATAGGTGTCTCTGCGTAAGCAGGAGATCGAGGACAGGCTCAATGCCTGGATTGTGTTCAATGAAAAGAATAAGGAGCTGTGCTCCTGGCTGGTACAAATGGAAAGTGAAGTGTTGCAGACTGCAGATGTTAGCATTGAAGACATGATAGACAAATTGCAGAAGGTAAGTAGTAACGCCACTTTTCTTCAATTGCAGTCTGATAGCTCGTTAGAGAGACACCATTCCTCATTTTTTCCTTGCCTCTTGGAAGTGATACATGATATAAAACCAGCACATACAGGCTGTTGTGAGAAGATGAGCTTTTCTAGCCTCAGCTCTTATCATCTTCTTGATGTTCAGACAGAGCATAATGTAAAACAGAAATGCCACCTGACTGCATTCAGGCGTGGAGTGTGATGTGTGTGAGTTGTGGTGGCGGGGGTCTGGGTTGTTGGGGTTCTTGGGCACACGTGCACACACAGCCCGGCTCAGAGCTTTCCCTGCTGGGGATCAGGGGTGTCCTGGGAGCATCTCGCTGCTCTCACCACCTCCACCCATGTGGGCAGTTACAAAACTAGTAGTCAGAGGACAGATTAGATTGAAGGGCGGAGTAGGTAGGCCAGGAAAACAAGAAGTTATCACAACCAAAAATAAAACCTAATTCTGCCCCTTCTCCTTGGTAGTCAGTGCAGTCAGTGCTTTCTAATACTTTCATATTAGCTTGATTTTGAGCAGGACCATTATTTTGCTAGTGTTCCTCCCCATGGCTTAAAGGTCCCAATATCTAATCCCAGATCTCCTCTGGATAAGAATACCAGCAAAATAAAGGCATCCTAGACTTTAATTTGGGTTCTTCTGAGGTAGCTTGATTGAAAAATTATGTTAAATCAGGAAAGCAGAGACAAAATTAGAATAAATGCTATTTTTAGGAGTACTTACTCCTGGCACTTGCAAGTCTTTAAGCTGCTTATTTTTACATAGTGGCTTCATTGTGAGAGTGCTTTTCCATTGAGGGTTTGTTCTGTTTTGTTTTAAGTGAAAGAGTTCTACATGCTAATGTAGAAACCTCAACCATCACAAGCCAAACCAGACTTCACATTACACACGTGGGAAAAGAAACAGATAGTTTCGTTTGGGTTTGTTGTTTTGTTTTGTTTTTTCCCAGGAATTAAGCAATGTTTGTGTATATTTATCAGGATTGCATGGAAGAAATAAACCTGTTTAGTGAAAATAAGCTTCACTTGAAACAAATGGGCGATCAGCTAATCAAGGCTAGCAACAAGAGCCGAATTGCAGAAATAGATGATAAACTCAACAAAATCAATGATCGCTGGCAGCATCTCTTTGATGTCATTGGAGCACGGTAAGAAAATTATTTTCAATGTTTTATATGAGATAAAAGTCCGTGGCTAATGTCCTTGACCATCAGAAACAGACTGACATGACTTTTCAGTTCTGTTGAAATTTTTTCTTGAGAGTCAAATTAAACTGAAGTTAATGCTTTTTTGTTCTGACTTGTTGCTGTATTATGACACCAAATGTCTTAATTTATCTAATGGTAGAGGGCAGAGTGTTAGTATTCATATAAAATATAATTTTAATCATGGGACCTATGTAAAAGGAAGAGTCAAAGTGATTTCTCTCTTGCATGTGTTGAACTGCAACTTAAAATTAAGGCAGTATAGTAGGAGTTCATTTGGGCTCTTTAGGAGAGCCTCCTATTTTAAGACAAGCCTCTATTTCACCCTATATATATGAACGCACAGAATTTGGGAATAGATTCCTGGCCTATTTCTGTAGACAGTCAGTTTTATATAATGATAATGTTCCTTTTTTACATTCAAAAGTGTATGAAATTTCAATTAAAATTAGTGCTATTTCTGTACTTAGTCTGTTTCCTAATAACAACTGGAAGACCACACCATGAGTTTATTTTTTAAATTCAAGATCTTCTGCATAATGGTAAAATGGAAAATACCATCAGTTGAAAGTAAAACAAAAACTTGCATGGTCTAGGCAATGACCCCTTCTTAAAGGATTAAACATCATTATTATACTTGACAGAGTTAAGAACATCATGATCATTTTAGTATTAGTCTTACTGAGACGATCCCATTTCACTATTATCTCTGAGTTTCTGCCACAGTCTGGGAAGAGGATGCTGGGCTGGGCTCACTGCCTGCCCGAGTTTATTAGTAATCCAGAAATAATAAGGCTAACACCAAATTAGTATTGGTCTAAACTTCTCTCCTAAGGTTTTCTTTCGCCTGTAACCCCCCTCTCTGGGTCCTCAGTTGACATTTGGGACAGAAGGTGGGTGGTTGTGCTGTGACAGTGTAGTGCTAAGTGTGGTGGATCTTAATCAGGAGATCTGAATTAATGGTGACACATGAGCCGTGAATGATTAAGCAGAAGCTGCCTTCTTAAGATCTAACACTTTGCAGATAGTCTTGCCATGGTTGTCTTAAGGTGTCTTTGTATTTGATCTGGTGTAGGAAAGAAAGCTTCACTTCTATAACAACATTTCTTCTGTTCTCATCTTATGGTAGCACACCACTTTTGCAGCACTTTTATGATCATTTGTGTTCTGCTGTGTGTTAGTTTGGAACTGTAGCAGTTTTTAAATGCAAATTAAAATGCACTATTTTAAAACTGAGGTAAACATGGCACATTTCTAGTAATCTTTAGGAAAATATGCTAAAGAACTGATGGGATATTTAGAGAGAGATCTGGCAGTCTTATTCAAACGGTCTGTGACAACAGGGCAGTTGTTGGTCTACCTGGGAAGTCTTAAATCTTTAGACAAGAGTATGGTGGTGCTTTGAGGTACATTAATGTTGATTTGCCTGGAGCATCGATGTAGCTCCCAGTATTGGGATATCTAAGTGGATATTGCAGCTACTGGGGAGTTGATGTGATGCTTTATGATTGTTCCCATGTTCGTAATCCCAAAAGCTCTGGAACATGCCAGCTTCTACTTGTGATTTCCACCAGCTTTGTGCTTGGGACCAGGGTAATGAACTGGAAGGACCCAAAAATGTGGTTTTAAGCAGCTCCCTCAGTGGTCCAAGGTTATCAGGCAGCCCAGTGGGCTCTGCTGGTCCTCTTAGACTTAATGCTAACAGAGGTTCAGCATATTGCAGCGTTTTGCAGCATGGATGTAGCACATTTCCTCCCTCACATAATCCACCTTGGTTGGGCTTTGCTCACAGCTCAGCTGCTCTTGGCTGCTCAGTCATAAATAAGCACCAGGCTAGACATTCACAGCAGAATCTGAGTATGGTCCTAAGAGTTTATTAGGCCCTGTTTACAACCTTCCAACTTTCCATTTCAAGATCACTGCTACAGTGGTGGCTTGCCACTGAGATTTGAATTCTGAAGGAACTAAATTATACTTCGGTTGACTGAAATTTCCACCTCACCCACTTTGCTTTGGGGCACTCAAGAGGAGGGTCCTCCTGTGATTTTGGGTAGCCTGTCTTTAAGCTCAGGGGATGGGGAAGAGGCAGCAGCTCTACCAATTGTTCCTCTAATGGGGGAGCAGAGCAGAACAAGGAGCCTTGGGCTGGTGGCAAGATGACCTGTGAGCATGAGTTGTGATGCCCCATTATGGCAGACTGTCTCCTTCCTTTCCAGTTTGCTTTTGCATAAAACTTTTAAAGGATAATCATATTTAAGCTGTGCTGAAAGAGTACATGAAAATAGAGCGGTGGCAAAATTCCTGTTGGCCCTGTTGCATGAAGCCATCACAGTCCAGACATCCTCACATGGTCTCAAACATCTGCCATCACCAGTTTCATTCAATGGTTAGGATGGGTTGGCTCCAGGGAGGTTGAAGCCTGCGGGGCATGGTACAGGGGCTGTGCACCCACGGCTGTACCGGCAGAAGAGAGGCTGGGGGGGCGCGGCGCCCCCGCCCCG